TGACCATCTCATGTTATACTCATATAAGAAGTATAAGGGAATGTCGTTAAGAAGTATTCGGGCTGCTATGTCCATCCGAAGGAGCCTAGGACCCAACGACTCTGCAGTTTCTACTCTACACCTCAGATCTGTCCCCTCACAGTTGAAGGTTGAAAGCCTCAAGTCCTGACAAAGGCTACAAGAATGAAGGTTGAGGGCTTAGGGTTAGACCCTTAGCCCTGTAGTAGTGGCATAATAGGAATATAATAGGACCGTAATATGACCCTTACTATCCCTTTTAGTCACTATTACCAGGTGGGGGGTCCACCTAAGTTAAACCTCTTGCGGTAGCTCGTACTGAAAGAGGGAATCCGTGGGGTTGAAGGTAACAGCCTACCCCAAGCTGGGTACAAAGACACTTGACAACAACGACGGTCGCAGCAAGAATTCCGGGTCCCAGCAGCGAATGTATACAATAAGAGAAATCGAAATCCGCAAACTCATCACCCTAAAACCTTAACCACACCAGTTTCAGCTTGTTTTTCCTATACCAGTTTTCTTTACGACTGCTTGAGATTCCAACAAGCTCAAGAATCCTGCAACAATAATAAGGGAACTTTAATTACCCCAACCCCTATAGTTAGGACTGTCTAACTATCATATGACTATAATATGGTCCTAATCTTAGGGGTTGGGCTCGCTACAACCTCCGTGCTCAATGGAAGAAATTCATAGCTCAAGTGCCGGGCCTTGGCAATCAGCTCACGACAGTTGTCGTTCATGTGTGCCAAGGGTTCCCATGTGGAGTCCTGCTGGGTGAGTGTTCTCAAAGACACAGTTCAGGGCTTAGGGCTTAGGGTTGCGGGACCCTGAACCCCAAGCCCACGTGTCCTCATTCATTGCGACCCTACTTCAGGGCATGGGGATTGAAACTGCCATCTGCAGCTGTATTGAGGGGCTTGGATTCGCAGCATGGCATTCATCTTCTGGGAAGGGCAAGAGGCTACAAGACAGAACGACATGCCTTTATGGTTTCGATGTCAGCGTTCCTCTACAGCGCACTTGTAGGCTAGCGGGCTTGTCAAGCCTGAAGTGGCTTCTTATTGAGTTTTAGACTGCATCATCGCTGTAATCAATGAGAAGGAACACAACCAAAACATCTTAATGACCCAGTGAACTCTAGTAGCGGCTTTGCTTCATAGGGACGCGACTAGGCCGTCAGGGTAAACCGCTGAACGTGCCTTTTTGACTTCCCCGTCTAGGTGTTGCTGTTCGAGGTGCCGTGTTCCACTTATGGCTGAAACCCGAAACCCTCAACCCTAAGCACTAAACCTTGAGCACTGCTTCCACCCAGTAACCATCTTTAACAGGGGCATGAACAAGGGCTATACATAAGTATGATATACATATTATCCAACTGCGACCGAATGAGGGCAGTACCCAACCCAAACCCTGAGCTCTGAACGCTGGCCCCTGCAAGTCAAAACCTCACGGGTCATGGTTTACAAGCCTAAACGCTAAACCCTATAGGGTTTAGCCCCAGACCAAGACCCACACAAAAGCTTCCAAAGACCGGCATGGAAAGTTGGCCGCAAAACTCCTCGGCAAAAAAAACAGGTCCTGAAGCCCAGAAGCCAAAATCCACTAAACAACAATCGAGAATCAAATGGAAGAGAACGTGGAAAACGAAATGGAAACTGGTAATTGAAGGCTATACCTGAACCCCAAAAGTAGGCAGAACCATAGCCCCAAAGCCACTATTCTACATACTTTTGGGATTCAAGTAAAACTCAAGCAAACCTTGGGGCATCAGGGTGAGAACCAGCCCCCAAACGTTGTTCAGGGTTGGAGGTTTTGGGGATACATGCAGGGGCCTAGAATAATTACCAATACCATTTTGAGGTCCGTTTTGAAGTACCATCAACTAGAATCATACAAGGAATATGGAACCATAATTTTGGTAATTATCCCTAGACCCTAAACCCTAAACCTTAAATAGTAGTATACTCTGATTATAGAAGGAAAATGGATAGGCCCCTATATTACATGCAGAGGTTTGGGCTCCTAGGGTTGAGGCTACAACCCAAAATACTCCACGTGCTGACATGACTTCGGCAGCCAGTAGGTGAAGAATCACACATCCAACAACCCCTAAAGCTTGTGCCCTAAAGCCTAAATCCTAAACCCTAAATCCTAAACCCTAAACCCTAAATCTTAAACCCTAAATCCTAAAGCCTAAAGTCTAAACCCCAAACCCCAAATCCGCTCTTTTCCGCATGCTTACTGTTAAGGTTTGTTGCTTTGGGATCTGCACCTAAAAGAAAACGGTTTAGGGTTTCGGATGTAAGGTTTAGGGCTTAGATTTTACGGTTTAGGGTTTAGGGCAAAATCCTGAAAAGGGGACCCCGGATCATCTACGGAGAGCCATAGATCCTCAGGGTTAAGATTTAGGGTGTACGGGCACCCCTGCTTTCAGAAATCCTACAAACCCTCAACCCTCGACACTGAAGTCTAACCTGCAACCTCAAACCCTTACATAAGGGCACCCTTTTATTTTGAGAAATCTCCATATGGATGCAGGTGGCCTGTTCTGAGTAGCCCTGCCACTTGACCAGGAACTGCCTGGCATCAGGATGTTTGTTGGGATACATGAACGTTCATGAGTAGGCATGAGTAGGGATAGAATTGGGATAGCCGTGGCCCTAAACCCTAAACCCTAAACCAGGGCTACACGTGAACGTTCAAGTAGGGTCCTAGGGTGTCAGGATGCGATATCGGAAGTTTGCACAGTGCAGTAGACCTGGGGACCCAGGAATATGTAATGATGATGCTGCTGCGATTGCAGGGGTCCCCTTGTGCATCCTAGGGGCTTACTTTGCGAAATTCCCATATGTTGTTTTAGAACGTGGGGTTTGGGGTTTTGGAGTATGTTACATATCAACGTCTTTTCCTAACAGCCCCATCATTAAACGTTCAATGGAATTTCTCGGCCTGGCCAAGGAAGACCCCTGCACCCTAATCCAAAGCCCCTAAACTTTCAAAGGGCTCAAAGGGGGGATGAAGGAAGGTGGGGTATAGGAAATAAGCCCTAATATAGAAGAGTGTATACTATGAATCCTTTAACCTACCTACTTTCATCCCACCTGTTGAACCCCCGTGAAACTTAGCCCACATTACCCTAGGAAGAAAAAAGGATCCGTTTTCCATCAATATAAGGAATCCCATACCCCAACAAGTAGAAAAGGATCCCTAACATTGATCTAGTAAACCCAAAACCATAAACCCTGAAGTGGGCAGGGGCCACGAATTCAAGTGGGTTTTGACAGGACCTACAGCACGCGGGTGCCAAGGATTGCCTTGTAAGGCGGCCTCTAGCCTACATAGGGTTTAGGGGTTTAGGGTTTAGGGCCCACAAAATGGCTCCTTGCAAGCTTACAAGCCAGGGGAAAGGTAGAAAGGCCTCGCATCTTTTTTTGAATACGGAGCTCACGTGGGTAGTCGGCGAGAACAAAGGTCTTTCCGAGCATACTCTCGATGGTACGCCAACTTTTTTCCCCTTGAGAGCTTGGGCGGGTAGAAACATTCTCCTGCAATAACCTTGTAGAATGTAGAGAGCGTCTTAAGTATGTGTTTTCCAACATCCCTGCTAGAAGTGTGGAGCGTTAAGGCAGAACCTTTAGAGGTGACACTAATGCTTTGAGTTTCGGGAACCTGTATGTATTAGAATTACACGTAGCTATGAACCTGTATGTATTAGAATTTCACGTAGCTATGTGGTGGAATGTGTGTTAGATTCATTCTGGCAATGTCATCTAAGAACACCATTCCGGTTTCTTCTTAAACCCTGAACCCTGCAAACTATAAACCCTATGAACCCTATAAACTCTAAACACTGAAACCTTGTAGTTCTCTTCTGCAAGATCACTTTGCACCCTGCCCAGTCAAAGGTTGACGTAGCTGAGAGTTGCAAGTCTACAGCCAGCGGTGGCCTATGCAACTGCAGAAGTCAGGGTTTTTGGTTGAAGTTTTAGGGTGTAGATAGAATATGGCGTTGGGTATATTATACTTAGAGCTCCACATGCCCCATATCCCATCTGCTTAAGGGGGGCTACAGACCCAGGGTTTAGGATTTAGGGCTTAGGGTTTAGAGTTTAGGGTTGATTGGACTTCTGCTGCGCATCCACGGTCATGATCCTCTTTCAAAAGTTTAGAAGTGGCCCCAATGCAGCTATAGTGCTCCTCAGAACCGGATTCTGTACACAAGTAAATTGGCCTGCTACCCTCCAACGCCAAAACCCGTCCCCTCACAGCCAATGGTGCTATAGGGTGAAGATGACAGAAAGCGAGCGGGGGTGGGATAGTGCAAGCAGGGAGAAGCTTAGAAACCTTCCGGCAGAAAAGACTGAACCTTACCAGGAACCAACTGATCCAGCTGTTGGTGTTCGCGCTCAGGGCGCAAGCAACCTTCGCGGAATGCCGGCCTCTCTTGGAGTCGCCTGAAGTATGCCTGGTCTCCAAGGAAGAAGCAATCTCGAAGCGCCAAAACAGTTGATCGAGGTTACAAAGGGGTTATGTTGGGGTTATATTGGGATCATGGAAAATGAAATGGAAACTACTATACAAGAACCGACAAGCTGCATCTGAGAATAAGAGAAGATTTCTATAAAAAAACAGCCGGGAAACCCTCCTCGGAGCTCCATATCGGGGTTTGAACCCAAAACCCTGTGCCAAGCTCCATGGCGTTGCCTGGAAAAACCAGGTTCAAGTCTTGCCATCCACCCCAATCTTACTGGTCCTGGTTTTTAGTAGGGAATAAGGGAATATACTCACGATATAGTCCCTATATGAGATATTCCCAAGTTCCCTACTAAACCTCAGTGAGTAAAGCAACGAGAGCCCCTTAACTTACTGGTGGTTAGCAGGGAATAAGTTTAGGGTTTAGGGTTTAGGGTGGGAGTACCGCATACAGGGATTGTAGGATAGGAAGTAGATCCCCTTATTCCCTACTAGGCGCCAGTAAGTTAATCCCCAAGCAATGGAAGCCGAGTTGCTGCTAGATTTGGTAAGGAGGGGAGCTTCCACCCTGACAGCAAACCGTCAAGCGCACATCGTTCCAGACAGCAGCTAAAGCGGCACACTTCAACACCTCTACAGTTATCAGGAACCTGCCGAGAGAAACAGCTGTTTCCTCAGATTCTGATAAGGTTTCCGCAGATTCTCATAGGAAGCGTTGAAACATGCTCCAGAAACTTCTAGGCACCGACCGGGATATCTGCTATGGAGAATCGCTCTCCCGCCAGGAAGCCTCCGGTATCGCCTAGTCTTTGCTCCACCTTCTGGAATCGCTCCAGATAGCCCTCGTAGCCTGAAACGGAAGGATGAAGGTGGCAGGGTAAATCGGGGGAGGTAGGGGACTGAGCATAACAAAAAGTTTTAGGGCAGATTGTATACTCGGGATATGTTCGAATATCAGTCATCAAGGTGATAAGCGTACTAATTACGTATTCTAGCTGCTACGTTGGGCCTTGCACTTGTGACCCTTTGATGGGAAGCCCTTGCATTGGCAAGTTTGAAGCGGTCCTTCTACTTTGGCATGCGCACAACCAATGAATTTACGGCACGTTCTAATTAATCCCGCCTTGAGTGATCTGAGAACATACCTCAGAATAAGGAAGCCTAAGCCCTTAAGCCCTTAACCCTTAAACCCCTAAACCCTAAAACCATACACTCCAGCCCTTAGTTTTGGAACCCCCAAACGCCACCCGTAAACTAGAGAAGCCCGCCATCTTTGTTTTGGAGATCGAAAGCCTCGAAGGATATTTCCCATATCCCGGTCCTCTGGCTTCGTGCGCGCGGTTTGGTCCAGGATAAGACAGTTGCACTCATGGAAGTCTATGAACAGTGCCCAATCCATCCAAGGTGAACACTGTGCCATGCCTTCGATGGAGTCCAGATGAAGGTCCGGTGAATACCTTGGGAAAGGTCTGGCTTTGGTACAGAAGGTTTAGTTTCAAACAACCAACAAAAATGCGACAAGCAGTTCCAAATGGGATCCCAGATGCTAAATAGCGTACGATAGAGTGGGACTCCCAGACAGACAGAGATCCGTCCACGAGACAAGGGATCTGCTGCATCGGGTGCAATGAGGCATATTCAGGCGTATCAATCCTTGCTTTCTTGGCCGCTCAAGGAAACCAATCGCACTCTTCAAGGAATTATCTCCGCCTACTACTACAACGACCAGTATGTATTAGTACTATGATTAGTACTCGCTTTAGTTCTTGTGCTAGTACTAGTTCCCAAAACCCAAAACCCAAAACCCTAAACCTGAAACCCTAAACCCTCTTGCTAGTACTGGTACAAGGAAGCCTAGCTCCCCCTCTGCCGAAAATGCGCATAACTTCAGCTCTAGTATCACGCCGTAGGACTCGCCACCAGACGCGTCGCAATACCTGGTTTTGGGTTTAGGATTTAGGATTTAGGATTAGGGTTTGGGCTGTTAGATTAAACCCTGAGCCCTGCGCATCTTACAAAAAAGGACGCCTTTGTTGCGTCAGGCAATAACAACACCCCTATCTTGGGCCATAATCTCGACCTCCTTGAAGGGGATTATACAAGGCATTAGTTAGGGGATTACTATATGGGTTAGAAGGTGGATACTAGGACTTTAGACTATAGCTCATATGGGAACTTCTCCAAGCAAAGAGGATTTCTGAAAACATAGGTGTGTACGGACACGGTTCACAAGGGGATCGCAACGAGATGCAAGGTATACTTCTCACTGGAAAGGCAGAGGCTATTCAAGCTTCACAAAAATGCCCTAAACATACGGTTTAGGGTTTAGGGGTTTAGGGTTAAGGGTCAATGCCCTAAACCCTGGACCGTGTGATTTATCGTGTTTGGCCAAGACACAGATTGGACCCAGGACCCATCTTAGTGCTCGCCAGCGTGAGTTCAAAGCCCGGCTGATCACGTAGCTCATGCAGCGCCCAGAGGACCTTTTGAGGTTCAGGGCGGGTACCGTTACATAAGTGCTATATCATTATTATATGGAGAGACCTGGATGTATGTAAAGGCTATGTGAGGCTTACATGGCGGAACCTACCCCCCTCAAGTTCCTCAGAACTTTTCTGACAGTCGGCCAAGGGACGCACAACAGCAATGATGTCGGAGCCTAAATGGATACTTCTACACCCGTAAGTATTGAAATTACAAGTGCTGAATAGCTAATTCGGTGGTAGCAGTACTACCCCTGATAAGAATTACAATGCTGCAAAAAAATCGCTTGTTGCCACTACTCTTGCACTTGAAGTATGCAGAAATGGAGCTGGCAGATATGAATTTCTCAAACCTCAGAGCCCCCTGCCCACACCGAAACAAGACCGTCAATAGGGACTCCAAAATGGGTGTCCGACATTTTGAGAAACACCCTACTCACCCTAAACCCTACCTAGACCCTCCAACGTAGTTCCTTTTTGGGTTTGGTATGGTTTTTTGGTTAGGACTCTTATTAGGACTACAAAAAAGGTACTACATTGGAGGCTTAAACCCTAAACCCTAAACCCTAATCACCCTAAACCCTAAACCCTAATCACCCTAAACCCTAAACCCTAATCACCCTAAACCCTAAACCCTAAACATCAGTTGCCAAAGGACCTTCTGAGTGTTGGAGCTGGACGGCCGCCCGAACACTCGCAAAGTTGCCATGGCTATGAAGAAACTGGGTTGCTGTTAAAGAACTTAAATATACAGTTACCATAATGGGTATATAGTAATTAATATGGTTCCCCCAATATAGTAACTTAAATTAAGTTCCTTAACAGCAACCCAGGAAAGGGCGAGGAGGGTAGGCTTCTTTCACCCGGGGGCTGAAATGCCGTAAGCAATTAGGGTTTAGGGTTTGTGGTTTAGAGAAGGGTGTAGGGTTTAGGAGACTGTAACCACGATTAAAGCTACCCATGCCACCTGGTATAAATTCAGATGAAACTTACCATGCGCCTTGTAGCCACCAACATGTAGACCTGAATGGAAAGAAAACAAGCTAAACACTTAGCTGGCGGAAGATCTCAAGAGATGAGCCAGCAAGGCATGGGTTCCAACACTTTTGGGGCTCAGGGTTTAGGGGTGTCAGGTTTAGGGCTTAAGGCGTAAGGTCCAGGGTTCAGAGTTTAAGGTTTAGGGTTCAGGGTTCAAGCTTCCGGTTCAGGTTGCTTCGAAATTAGGGATATTCTTGGGAGGCTCACTAGAATACCGATTGAAATGGTTTTGGGTCCATCTTGGGGTTCCCCTATTTATGGAAACCGCCAAATCCCGGACTATTAGAGACCCCGGGGCGGATGTTGTAAGGGGACAATGGGAGCTCCAGTTAGGGATTATACAGGTGACATGTTGAAAGCCAACATATGCACCAGTGTGAGGCGGCAATGCTCCTCTAGAAGGGCTTAAGCCGCTCAGGGGATTCAGGTTACCCCATCCTTCTGATAAGGACCGTATAAGATTGATATGATAGTTGTAGGGTTCAAAGTCAGGGTGGGGGTAACCCAACCCCCTTCCTACTTCAAGCCCAAACCTACTCCAGCTAAGCTCGCAGTGTGTTCTTCAGGATTTAGGGTTTGGGGCCCTTTTTCCAGGGAAGCTAATTAAGCTAAACCCTAAAACCTGAACCGGCCCATGGAAAGGTACCGGACTGCGAACCTGCTCAAAAACTTAACACTCAAGCCGCAACGCGCCAACTTGAATCCCAACTCCCAAACCTTGGCTACTGCCCCTGCGATTGGATTTAGGGTTTAGGGTTTATAACCAGTACTTAATAAGGTTTGGGGGGCGGATTTTTAATTTTGAAAATTTGACATTTTGAGACTGAGGAAATTTGAGAACCCGGAGCAAGTGCAAGTTTATATGGGCTTGAAAGTCTAGGGTTCAGAGACGCGTATACAGGGCCCTTGTACCATATTGCTATAGTTACAATCTTTGGGGGGATATTGTTCTAGCCAAGTTATAGGGTTGGAAGCAGTAGCCGAATCCTCATCGCATAAACCTTTATAAAACGCCAGTTTCAATGTCATGTTCCATATTCTTCGCAATTTCGCTATCCACGCTTCAACTATTGAATCCAAACCTTTTCTTCCGCTGCAAAGGTGGCGGGATGACTCAGTGCCATCCTCATTTCTCCGATATCTGAGGATATCTTCAACCTCGAACTCCTGGTGCAAACTACCAGGAGGGCTCTTGCATCATTAGCTTACTGGTGGTTAGTAAGGAATAAGGGACTATAATCACTACAAAACCATATACAGACATATGACTATATTCCCTACTAACCCCCCAGTAAGTTAAGTACAGAGGGTTCAGGACATTCGGACAACATCTCCCGGCTCCATCTCAGCATATTCTGAAACTGGCTATTGCAAATCCAACTTTGATGATGATTGCCAGGGCACATATTAACACATGCTTGTGAAGATGAGTGTGCCACCATTACCGTCCCTGTTGCAACGGCTTCTTCTAGGGGATGAGCTAAACCCTGAACCCTAAACCCTAAACCTTAAATCCTAAACCCTACTCCCCCTGACATTCTCCCTCCCTTTGGCGGCCCATGGAAGACAGGTCTCTAGAAAGCAGGGAAGCCTGAAGATTCGCACACTCCAGCCAGCAGAAGTTTACTGATTTAGAATGCACCTGGGTTTAGGGTTTAGGGTCTACCTATTGAGTATGATGGAAACTGTAGATGCACCTCTGAGGACCCTGGAACCCTTCATCCAATTTTCCGGAGCAGACTGTCCTCTTCAGGGCCCTGGTCATCCTCCTCCACAGAAAGATTTAGTGAGTTTTGTTGGTGGGTAGTGACCTCCATGTTTGAGGCTTGAGTGTGCGGAGTTGGAACTTTGGGTTACAGGCATCTGTGAAGCTTTGTAGTTGGACAAGGTTACCAGGGTAGATGGGGTGGACGAGTTTGCCTTGTTGAGCGCGGCTCGCACCCACTACCTTGCGATATATAGCCACTCTGAAGCCCGCCAGCCCACCTTAAATAGCATCCTGCAACGCGAAGCATTTCCAAAAGATCTTAGGGTTTGAACTTTGCTTGTTGGGCAAGAGGTTTACATAGGGAGCGGGAAATGTTGGAGGCGGAGGACTCAAAAGACCAGGACTGGGACTGCTAGTCCTTAGACGGGCGCCTGGCTGCGAGAATCATGGGGGTTCCTAAACCCTATAGTATGAGCTATTGTCGAAACTCCTAGTATCCCTCTTAATAATACCTATAGTAGTCCCCTATATAATCCCTATATAACCCCCCCCATTAAGGAGTTTAGAATGTAGCTCATATAAGTCCTAAGAGTGCAAGGACTCAGAATGCTCTTCCCCAAAGAAGCATCCGCGATTCGGAGGCATCCCCTACACGAAGCCCCTGCAGCAGCAGTTGACCGACAGGTTCTCATTTGTCCGTGCCTCCTCTCCAGGAGCCCCTAAAAGCAGCAATAGATGTATATATGTTAGGTGGACCCCCCACCCAGTAATAGTGACTATAAGGGATAATAGGGGATATATTAGGGTCCTCTTATATTCTTATTATACCACTATTACAGGGTGGGGGGTCCTCCTAGTATATATGCTTTTATCCATATATACATATATGGAAAAAATGTGTGCATGCTTCATATGCCTGTATATATGTATAAGTTTTGTGGATTGTATGCAGGCAGCCACAAACCAACAACCCTAAAGCCACCCCAAACTCCACCCCAAAAACCCACCAAAAACCTTAAAATCCTAACCCTGGAGCCCTCAAAACCCCTTGAAAAGGACCCTAAACCCTAAACCTACTTGGGTAAGTGCTCCTCCTCTCCGTCCATGTCTTCGGTTTCGTGACGGCTAATCAAGGACACACGTGAGCCGATATCCGAGGCGGTCACCCACTTAGAGATAAAACATACCTTGAAATTAGGGTTTAGGGTTAGGGTTTAGATTCCATTTCCAAAGCTCTAGACCCCAAACCCTAAACCGATTCTTATCCATGGCTCGTTCCCTGCAGGCCAGGAATAAGATTAAGGACTACGACCGGTTTAGGGCTTAGGGTTTCTTGGACGGTCCTCATGATAAGGCTTGTATTTGGATTTATGTAAAGAGCACCCCGGCT